ATTTATGCTATTTCGTTGATTCGTTTTGTCGCCCTGACAGGATGATAATCCCGCGGCACGGGATGTGATGAAGTTTGAAAAATTGATGTCGTCTGTGACGAGGAAGATCATTACCACGACCTCGGATTATTCTCTCTCTCCCCCCTCTCTGTCTCTGTCTCTGTCTCTCTCTCTCTCTCTCTCTCTCTCTCTCTCTCTCTCTCTCTCTCTCTCTCTCTCTCTCTCTCTCTCTCTCTCTCTCTCTCTCTCTCTCTCTCTCTCTCTCTCTCTCTCTCTCTCTCTCTCTCTCTCTCTCTCTCTCTCTCTCTCTCTCTCTCTCTCTCTCTCTCTCTCTCTCTCTCTCTCTCTCTCTCTCTCTCTCTCTCTCTCTCTCTCTCTCTCTCTCTCTCTCTCTCTCTCTCTCTCTCTCTCTCTCTCTCTCTCTCTCTCTCTCTCTCTCTCTCTCTCTCTCTCTCTCTCTCTCTCTCTCTCTCTCTCTCTCTCTCTCTCTCTCTCTCTCTCTCTCTCTCTCTCTCTCTCTCTCTCTCTCTCTCTCTCTCTCTCTCTCTCTCTCTCTCTCTCTCTCTCTCTCTCTCTCTCTCTCTCTCTCTCTCTCTCTCTCTCTCTCTCTCTCTCTCTCTCTCTCTCTCTCTCTCTCTCTCTCTCTCTCTCTCTCTCTCTCTCTCTCTCTCTCTCTCTCTCTCTCTCTCTCTCTCTCTCTCTCTCTCTCTCTCTCTCTCTCTCTCTCTCTCTCTCTCTCTCTCGGTATCAATTAAACTAAGATGGACAACTAGTGCCCAATCTATTTTGTATAACACGATGGACAACTTGTGCCCAATCTATTTTGTATAACACATACGCAAATGAAATATATTTAAAATCAAACCGAAAGTTCATTTCCGGGAAGGAACGCTCGCGTTATGGAGACAACATCAATTCACATGACTCGTCTCTAAAAACAGACCACGGTTATGCAACTAAAACAATTTCTTGGCAATATGTATCGTTCATTTGCGGAACAACACTATGAAAATAGACATAGCGATTGCCATACATGTTCATGTCGGATATTTATGAATGGGTGATCGCGAAGTACAATATACATTGACCTCGTCGTAATGGATGGTCGGTGACTTTCCCACAGTTTCGAGTCTCTATTGTTCTGAGGTCGGTTAACGTCGCATCAAGCGTATATTATACACTTGACAAAGGGCACCAGCTCCCAAAGGATCTGTCTACACCTTTCACACCTACTTCTCGAGTAAGTGTTATGAGCTTATCTGTAACGGCATTCGGTGTGAACCCTCAAAGGAACCGCGGACAGGCAAAGAGGGCTCTGTGGTGATAATAGGTAAAGGGTAATTGTTTCCTGAAACCCCTATTTAGGAAATGTACCTGTACGCTCGGGCAGGTGTGACAAAGACTTCACAGAGGCCGACATATACTTACCTGAGATATTATCGATTTATTGATCGCCTTGGACTCACGTGCTAATCACCTGTAAAAAGTAGATTTTCTAGAAAATTGGAGAAATATTTTTGTGATTAACACTCCAGATAAATCTAAGATAAATATTTATCTATTATCTACACATTTCCTTGTTCGCGTGTCTCGCAGACAGAAGGGTGACGGAGAATGACCGATAAGCATCTGTTTGCTTATCCGGACGTAATCGTTACTACACAATATGGTTATTTACGGTGTTTGGCGTATCAAGGATTTCCCTTTGTCGGAAATTTCCGGTATCTTTCAGATGTTAAGATTCGATAGTAGCACGCGCCAATTGAATTGTTTTCTAAGTTTGTTGACTTTAGCAGCTTGTGTGACGGTTTTAAAGTGTGCCCGTTTAAAGTTAAGACAAATTGTTATCAAAACAAATGTAAATTTCTGTAAATAGAAATAAAATCCCAAGAACATTTCCGCATTTTCATATAAAACACCGCTAAGAAAATATTTGCTATCGGTATTAACATATTGTACACTTGTTGAAGAACTGCATTTCCCCATTCCTATGTCACCTAATTGTAAGCATGTAGACATTAAATCATTTTAACGTCAATTTTATCTTAAAACACAAAATAAATTGTACAACTTTATAAAAAGACCTTAAAATATTATAGCGTCAATTTTACAAATTATTTTCAAAAATTTGAAACAAAAAATAAATTTCACAATTTTACAAAATGTCTTAAACATTATAACGTCAATTTTACACATTAAACTGTCAATGCTTTTTTAAAAAATAGGAATGTGTAAAACTAAAACCGAACAAAAAAACAACAAAAAACAAAAAACAAACAAACAAAAAACAAAACAACAAAAAAACAAACAAACAAGCAAACAAAAATCCTTTTTCACGTTTTTATCCTGGTCAGTTACTTTTCCTAAAAAAAACCCAGATAATTGGCGGCAATACATATGACACTCCCCGGTACATTTACACTTTCTGCTTATTTGTAACAGTTAAAAAGATATATACTGAACCGCTGTTTATTGTGTAACAAGGGTCTTCATGAAACGACTTAGAAACTGGGCATAGCGTTCAAAATTCTGTTTTCTGTCAAATCTTTTCAAAAATTAGTAATTTTAAGAATTGATTTCAATCATGATGAATACAGATTTTTCTTATTGTACAATATATACATTATTTCCCTGTAGTTACTATTTTTTCTGCAGAATGACGAGTATATAGATACGACCAACTTGAAAACAAAACAAAGTTAATTTCAATGTATTTACTTTACAATCGTAAATGCATTCAGTGATTAATGACGATAAAGTTGTTAATTTTTTTAATTTTGTATCAAAAACTATCAATTTACTGGTCTGAAATATTCAATATCTTCGTCTGAGAGCATACAGTTAACAGCACTCACCGAAAAAGTATGGTTAGATTAAGTTTGATAAATTATACAGAAAAATGAAATTCATATACAACTAACCAGCTTTAAAAGGCGTCTTTATCTCGAAATCCAGTATTATATCTAAGCTGATGGTAGTTTGTGTAATGTTACATTTCTATATACTACAATGAAAACACTGTTCCATGTGCGACTTCTAATACATACAGTTAAAATAATTTAACACATAATTTCTATTGAATAAAGTGATTCATGTTTCTGGTGAATGGTGTTCTATCTAAAAATACGTTGTTGATAATCGTTAAATATGAAATATTTTCTTATTGTAATACTAAAAAATTCTTTATATAAATAACTGTTGATAATGTAGGGAAACTGACTTAAATCTGTTTGTTTCGACGCATAATATGATATTTCTTTGTAAACTGTCTAAGCTAGTTTTGATATTTTGTTTATGTCACGCAGATGCCAGTTTCAGCAGAAGTATAAATCTGTGTAATACAGGATGTATTTGACAGCGGTCAGTAAGTTGCTAACTCTGGTATGACAACTTCTGGTGTGTCCTATCTTGATTTCTTCGGCTCAACTTCGGAGCAAAATTGCTGATAATTAGCATCTGTTTACTGTCAGATGACCGTCAGTAGTGGTCAAGACTGGACACTGACGAGCGTTATTAGCATAATGTAGCACGTGCTATTATACCGTATGTAATATTATATAGACACGTGTACATGTGTACGAGAATCTCACGCGCACGTTGCCTGGTAACAGTTTGGATAATTATGAATTAGCATGCACTTGATTTTGACAAGATGTAAATAAGGATAAACATATTCATGACTTATGATAGATAAAGTAAGACAGGGGACACATTTTTACCACGAGAAATTATGTTGAAACGTAATGGGATATTATGGCAGGTTTGTAACTGTGCAGTAAGGGTACATACTGGCACGTCCCACGGGGACTTGTAGCAAACAAATATTACGATTTTGTCGTAAAACAGAGAAATTCTGTGTCTACTGGCTTGTAACCGCCGATACAATTACTTACTGGATGTCAATCCTGGAATACACCAGTTCATTTCATAAAAAGAATAAAGAATAGATAGATATACGAAAAAAAAACACACGAAACTGAAAGTTTAAAATGCATTTTGGTCTTTATTTACTTATTTTCAATTTGGATTTGAAAATTGAAACATCGTAAAATATGTTTGGAATTTACGTCAAAAACAAACCAGCGCTGGTAATGCTTCTGAGTGGAGACAACAAAATAAATAAATAAATAAATAAATAAATAAATAAATAAAATTTACTTCAAATATCGGTGATTTATTTGTACCTCTTAGTATTGCATTAAAATAAATAAATAATTATAAATAAATAAAGATAAATTAAATAAATAGATATGTTTCTTTCCAACAATATTAGCCCATGATATAGTCTTACATTTACGATATCAAATTTATTTTTAATAAAGGTCGTTTGTTTCCTCAAAGTGACAATTATACATAGCTCTACCATATTTAATTTTCGTTTGTCAAAAAGGTTTTCATCGATTCGTTCAAAATCCTGATGATACAATTTCGTATAATGTCCACATTTTTTAGAAAAATCACAGAAGTCTGTTAATTTAGATAAAAAAAAACTAGTTTTCATAAATTTCTTAATGAACCGTGTAAAATGATTCTCATTTACGTCAATAAATTCTTAAACAAGATTTTACTTGAATAGGTATTTGAGTGGACCACATGGTGGGTGTTAAATATCACATTTAATAATACGTGATGGCATTTTGATTGTGTTATAAAACATCACCACACGATGTGACGATGTAGCGGAATTTCTATGCTACCCGCTGGTAGCAATCACAGTGGGCGGGGCTAAATGCTGACACAGGTCGCGTGGCTTTGACAGTGGATACTCAGGACAAACACCATGCACGCTCATGTCGGGAATTCCCTTTGTTCAACCAATGAGGGAAGAATACTCCGCCGTGGGGGTTCAATAAGGCTGGCCTGTGATTGGCTGGATGTACAGGAAGGTCTAGCTCTGGTATTTATTGCGGGTGATTCAATGTTATGATCAGAATTAGTTGTGACTTTTACGTGGAAACACAAAACACTCTAACTTTTGCGAATTTTTGGGATTTGGAAACATGTCTTCGGATTCAGAAATGTACACACCAAAGAAAGACGATTCGTTGCGAAAGGTAGATATATATTTTCTTCCTAAAATATTTTTAATTATAATATACCACAGAAGAAATAAGACTTAAGTATATGTTTTTATATTTACATTTATAAGTAGATTTACCATAGATTCAGAAAATATTACTGCTTGGACCTACAAACCTTACATTTTTTTGCCACAATGCATTGAATTATTATTAAATGTTACTCATTGTTAACTGTTTGTATATAATAAATTATGACCCCATCAATAATTTGATATTTCACCAAAGACCATCGCGCGCCTCACGTTTCAATATCTTTTTACCTGTGACATGGGTTTCATTGATCATTGTTTTTCATACCTTGGTCAATTGCTGTATATTTCATCAGTCCGAAAATCATTGTATCCCATAAATGTTTTAAAAGTCCATCTTTCCTACATTTACAATCTTTTTCATCTTTTAATTTCTTCATCTCAATACTCACATATTGAATAACTTATTAATCTCAATTATACATGTATCACCGCACGTGGTGTGACGTGAAACTGGCTTTATTAAAGAGAAAGTAAAACGTTATGATATTTTCAGGATCAGACTTTTCACGACTTTGACAATTCATTGTTGTTTTCTACTTTCCAGATAAACAAACCCATGATGGAGAAAAAGAGAAGAGCTCGGATCAACCAGTGCCTCACACAACTCAAGAGCCTCGTTCTGGAGGCTATGAAACGAGACGTAAGTAAAACAATGTGTACATGTAGATACTTTCCCTGTAGATAAAATATTTCGTGATTTGGACTGATACTTGTCTGCCATCTTTATATACTGTACAGCCTCAGCAATTGTTTATTTTTCTAAATGATACGATTAGTTACAGTATACATCCATGTACACTGTGTAATAATGACTTGAGCAAGTCTAAACCGCCGGGACTAATTTTTTCACAGCCAGTTGATTTTCAACGTATAACATCCAAAATTCACCATTATTAAAGCTGTAGACACATCTCAGACCTCTGTGGCCTACACAATCTTTATTATAAAAAAATTATTTAGACTTGCTCATGTCCACAGGTAGGAAAAGGATATTATCACTATTATGCACTATGAAAATATCTCAAAAATGAAATGTTCATATATTTTTTTGAAAGTTAATGAATATTCAATATTCAAACAATGCATTAAATTGAAGTTTTAATTACTTTTATGATATCTTTACAGAGTACACAAGTTTCAAAACTTGAGAAGGCAGACATCTTGGAAATGACGGTAAATTATTTACGAAATACCCAGCATCAGCAACAACAGTGTGTCGACTCTACGACAGATATGAGACGTAACAAATACAGAACGGGGTTCAACGAGTGCGCAACCGAAGTCATGCGTTACCTTGGTAACGACGAAGGAGTGACACCCGATGTCAAATCGAGGCTTAGTGATCACCTGACTAGGTGCGTTCGAGTGATGAACAGTCGACTTTCAGAATCCAGACCTGAAGCAAGTGAATATATTTCCCAGACTTGCGCCGAGGGTTTATCAATAGATATTCCGTTTTCTGGATCTAGTGTTGGGACAGTGCAGAGTCAAACTAGTAATGGTATCTACTTGTTGAAAACCCAAAATATGAATGCAGCACAGACATATCAGTACAATCAGCACGTGCTCACAAATGGACAGAGGTCATTTTCACAATGCAGGTCACGGTATCAGATGAATGTAGACAATTCAATGATGAATGTGTCACCAGTAAGACAATCTCAAGGTGTATTAAACGTCACATCCGGTCAGCAGCACCTACAATATCCGGGTCATTTGAATGCTTCTATTCACCAACGAACACCAACCGGAAATGATAACCTGAATCACATGCACAACAACAACAACAACAACAACGAAGTGGTTTGGCGTCCGTGGTGATCTTTGTTTCCGGAAAAAAACTTGCTTTTATTTGGAATTTCGGAGACAAAAAGATGGAAAGTGTTGGATAATTTTCACGAGGAATGATCTTATAGATCAGGATTTTCCGAATCTGAATTAGCTTGACTGTGATATATAATAAAGGGTGCAATAAACAACAACATAAAACATGTATCATATCGTCGTGTTTTAATGTGATCATTCGTTTCATAATATTCCAATAAGTTTTCTGGATCGAATGTTTAGACCCTAATATTTGTCAATAAAACCAAGTCACATTTCTAACTGAATCTGACACTCGTCAAATTTTCGAAAGTTCTTAATAAGACCAAGACAAGGTAAACCTTTGAATCTCTTGAGTTTGAAAGTAGACATAGATACTGATAGATAGACTTTCACAGCCGATCTCTCTCTCTATATATATATTAGAATAACTCAATACAACACGTCGAATTAAGCATTCGCGCTTTCATTCCTGAATCTTCGTGATGCTTAATAAACATATTATGGACTTTTAGTCTTTCAGCGAACAAGGACATATGGCGTGATGTCCATTCGTATGCTATACTTCGCATCTCGTGGAAAAATAGCCGAAAGTTCCCATTGTCTCGATAGTTGTGATGTCACTAACTTTATTGTGTCTTCTTGTACTGTGACGTCACTAGGATTGAGGTATGATTCGAGATTTTTATTATCACATAGGCCTATATAATAAGAATTTTGAGAGGACTTTCAAACGTTTCAAGAATACGATTGACATTTTTTAGGCTATTTATAGAAAACGGACATTTCGACGTCAAGTCCTTTCGGCTCTAAATCCATAATATCTATTTTACGTCAAAATGTCATTTGTAAATAGGTGACGTCATTTGATTTAAGTGACGTCACAATGATCTTAAACATGTGCAATACGCAAAAAATATAACATGAGTATATTTACTGATACAAAGACTAATTTGAATAAAGTAGTTAAAAATCGTTTTTCGTCGCTTCTAAAGAGGTAGGGCGCTTAACCGTGGCAGAGCACCTATTTCAGTGCATCACTTTGGTCTAAAAAAATACATGGCTAATGATATGCGGGTAAACGTGCATTCGGAGTCACTGTGTCTAAATATAGAACATGACGGTCCAGAAAGAGGTGTGTTTAACGTGTATGTCGCTTGCAATACAACGATTAATGTTGAAAATGTACAAGAGGATAGGCAAAACAAAAGATCAATTCAATGGCTGGGTTACTGCTTAATGTGTGACCTTTTATAATATTGAAGATACATTGAGATGACATTCTACCATGTCCCCAAAAACTATCAAGTAAGACTCTGTCATTAGCGCTATTATGTAACTCATCGGCTGTATTCATTAACACCGAAGATAATAGGTCAGGTTTTGACCAGTAATTGCCGCAACGCTTTTGAATATAAATTATGAAATTAAAGGACACTCACCAATAGAATCGGTGTATTGAAAATGTATACTGAAAACAAAAAACAAACAAAAAAATATAAAAATCATATCGAACGTGCGACCCCACGAAAGTCCTACTTACGTTGAAGTAACGCCTTATCGTCTGATGTAGAAGTCGCTGACATTTTAATTACAAATTCAATGTTGAAACCATAAGCACTTAACTTTTTTGTTCCAAGTCGATTTTTTTCATTTTTTTTTCGGTATGAACACACGCTTGTACCAATTTTTGAGAAAAAAAATTAAGTAACATTTGATCGCACTGGCCATATATAGATTCAAACGCCTTATGTTGAAACCATAAGCACTTAACTTTTTTGTTCCAAGTCGATTTTTTCATTTTTTTTTTCGGTATGAACACATGCTTGTACCAATTTTTGAGAAAAAAATTAAGTAACATTTGATCGCACTGGCCATATATAGATTCAAACGCCTTAAAGTTGATACCAGCGTGCGCTGTGTGTCAAAATGGCATTTGAAGCCAGCAAAACCCTAATGTTTTAGTGCATATTGCTTTCGGTATCAACTTTGACGATCAGTAATAAATGACGTATGGCACATTGCCAAGATTTTTTCTGATGATTGGTATTTGGGTATTGATGAGATTACCTACATGAATTCATTGAAATAGAATTTATTTTTCCGTTTCATTGTTGGTCATATTTAGGTCTAATTAGGCGGTTTCGCACCATAACTCTTCTCCAATTTCACCTCGTTAGACAACCGATAAAATAAAATGTGTTTAGTGTCGTTTTATCAGTCTCAAATGAAATGAAAATTAATTAACGACCCTCTATGTAGTTTCTGAAACTTTGTTCGGTCGAACTACTTTCCTTTTATCAGCTATTGGTTTGTTTTAAGTACATTGGTAAAACTGTCCCTCTCCACTTCCATGCCGCCGCCCCCGCCCCAATCCCGGACAGGTACATGGTTATCACTGTCCCTCTCCTCTTCCATACCCCCTACCCCGCCCCCATCCCGGACAGGTACATGATTATCACTGTCCCTCTCCTCTTCCATACCCCCTACCCCCGCCCCCATCCCGGACAGGTACCTGATTATCACTGCCCCTCTCCTCTTCCATACCCCCTACCCCCGCCCATCCCGGACAGGTATATGAAAAACACTGCCCCTCTCCGCTTCCATACAGCCGTAATCCGTTTACGCTATTTGTATGTGCAATGTATTCGTATCTCAGTTCAGGAAAAAACAAGTTTGGATTACACATTTAAGTTAAAATTTTGTTATCATTTTTGTACTATGAATATCGGTATTATTTGGCCAGTATTTTGCAGGCCTCCAAGTTACGACATTTATCAAAGATATGATTAAACAAAATTTTCGCAAACTTCATTGTCATTTCATTAAGATGTTTTACACGGTTTGGCTTTCTACAGTCCATACTTATTTCCAATTCAGTACGCGTTTTTCTGGGTTCTCACCCTCTCGCTACACGATCATTCGGAGAAGTCATATTGCTTTTAAAATAAATCAAGTTTTTTAGAATCTTTTACACTTTTAAAGAATTTGGATAGGTACAGAATGATAGAATATCTATTCCCCAGACTGTTTCGTATAACAGGGATCGACCTGATGAGAATTTGTTTAAATCAAGGAGAGAATAGTTTATCTATTTCATTTTTATTTTGCTCTTAAATTTAACTTTAAAATTTGAACTCTGATAGTATTCTGCAAAGAGCAGAGTAAGTTTATGTAACAAATTCTCGGAACTCCGGTGGAGTGTTATTCCAAACTTTGCATGTCATACCCGTGTTGACACGAAACACTGGATTGGCGGTTCGAACACCGCCAACACGTGTTGTCAACACTTAGTAATAAATTCTATTTATAAACCAATAAATCTGACATATTTCAATCACCATTCGCTTATTCTCCGTATGTACTCGTGTAAAGCACACTACGACTTTGCATTAATTACGGGTCAATTGATATAACTAGCCGGTGAAATTGGTCACCGCGGGGCACCAATTAGTGTCAGTGTGTTCCCGCACCAGTGGTCAAGTGATAAGAAAACGGACTGGTCAAGCATGTTCGCGTAATAGGGACAGTTACCGTGGTCTATAAGCGATTAATGAGATATAAACAAAGAGCTGTTAATGGAAAAATCAAAATATGTTTAAATAAAAGTATTTTGTAAAAACGGTTTTAAGACCAGGTTCACTCTTTCTCATATATGCGGTGACGTCACATCAATCTTCCGTAGTCTCAAAGTATTAATTGGATTTGTTTTGTTTCCTACCTTCAATAACGTACAACCATAGAACAAATATCGATTCACAGCGCACGTTTTTTTTTCGCTTGGAATATAAAGACTCAATTCTGACCACAGAATTTCACACTTGTTAATATATGTAAACAGTTGCCCCGTGTGATGTTATAGATTCAATACTATTTTATCAAAACTGATTTGAGTCTTCTGAGCTTGGAATTCCTTTGGCTAATGTTGGGATAACTGACTGAATCATTTACATCTGCACGACAATATTATACCAATCAATAATATTGATTTTGTCATCGATTATCAGTTATCAAGGTCATCAATGACTAGGGTCCAGGATTAAATCTCATCGACAATTTCTTTGTTTCCTCAAGTGAGATTTAAGCCTCATTATGTCACGGGATGTTTAACATAGTGAGGTATCATCAGCGAAGGGACGAGGTTACACAAAGTTAGTGTGTGTCGATGATAAAAAATAATAAAAATCCAGACGAAAGAAAATTAAAATTGATCATCGATGACGATTTTGAAAACCAACTAACTGAATTGTCCAAACTGGTAAATTTTGTGTTTCGCTTCATAAAACTTTTCGTAATTTATACTAATCAGGAAGAAGTCTTGTGCATCTTCTGTTTTGAAAACACATCCTTTGGTAGTTTATAATTGACTAAGGAGAGAGAATACGTCACTAAATCCTTGTTTGTATTTAGTACTGAAAAGTACGAAAACGCCACAAATATAAACGACATTTCGATAACTCAAAATCACGGATGATACATCTGTCATTACTGCTCTCAATGTTTATCTATTTTCATAAAAAGCAGTTCGGTACAACATTTATAATCGATAACCGATCGTTCTTGTGTTTTCGAATATCGATTATCAATTTAGAAAGAGAAACCGATTCCTTTCACTACAGGAAAAACTATAAATATATATTAAGAAAAACAGGGGTCCAAGAACATAATAATTGTGTTTCATGTTATACAGAAACCATAATTATTCAATTTTACGATCTTTATGCCGTACTGTTTCGAAAATATTAGAAAAAAACACAAGATATTAACAGTGAGTTCTCAGTGATATGTAATCGCCGAGAAATATAAGGTCTTACATAAAAATGTGGTGAAAAAATGTTTAGCTTACGGACGGACGCACAGAAAAAAAAAACTATAAATACGGTAAAGAGATGTTTAGCTTACGGACGAACGGACGGACGCACAAACAAAACAACTATAAATGTGGTAAAGAGATGTTTTGCTTGCGGACGGACGCACAAACAAAACAACTAATAATG